GTAGATTTCTTTATTTGCTCAATGCCAGTAGAGTAACACATGTAGACTGATTAACAGATTTCACACTGCAGAGATTACAGGAGCTGCTGCCGATTCTTGATTTCAATATGTGAAAATATAAACACGATGTGAAAACTTCCGGTGCACTTCCTCTGCGTATTTGACTTCAATGGCAATCTGCTTTTCTATCAGCAGAGTGTTACTATGGTAAATGTGTTGACTTATGTCCTTAACAATAGTCCCACACTCTGGGTGATATATTAACTAAGTACCACTTACAGACACCTGCTTTGAAACCAGTTCTTCTAACATCATACTCAACTCAGTGGTGTATCTGACATCCAGCTATGTGAATTGCCGTTAAGTCTTGTTGACAGTTTTTACCATTGTATGTCAATAAATAATGGTGTTATATATATATTTTTTTCACTCTCCAGGCTTGTGGCATCATTGTGGAGCTGATCCGTTCAAAGAAAATGTCAGGAAGGGCAGTGTTACTGGCAGGGCCACCTGGTACAGGAAAGGTAAGTGTGCAGTGTTGATTCACTGGCAAAACAGAAGAATGCAGCTTCTTTTGTTGATGCAGATCGCGAGTCTTAAATTCTTTCTCTACTTCTCTTTCCTTCAGACTGCACTCGCCTTGGCTGTAGCACAGGAGTTGGGAAACAAGGTGCCTTTCTGCCCCATGGTTGGCAGTGAAGTCTACTCATCTGAGATTAAAAAAACAGAAGTACTGATGGAGAATTTTAGGAGGGCCATTGGTGAGTGTCACTTAAATATGTTTTTGTTCCTCTATAGCTCCTCCTACAGGGCTCAGCTGGGGAATGAGTGAAAATGTAATGACTGGTTACACACAAGCTTTTACACAAGTGTCATTTTAAAAATAATAACAGTTAATTGGAATAAATTACAGCACGAGGAAGCAAATGTTAAAATAAAGGAACATTTTAAAACGGACAAAGTTATATATTTACCAGAGTCCTATTGGAAAAGATCACAGTAAAAACAACAGGGAGGTCTGTGGATTATTAGTAACTATAACACTGTTTCTGGGAAAAACAGGAAACCAATTCCAATTCATTGGATTAAAGCAGCATAATTGTCAGAACAAGTCCAACGCTCCCTGTATGTCTATATTTCACTAGGACTAAATGAGAGAAAATTATTTTTAGTTCCTCTACGCTCTTCATCTCTTGTTGTAAAGGACCGTATATGTGCAACTCATTCCCTCCTTGAGGAGTCCTTGAGCAGAAAGAACAAGGTGTCCTGCTCACACCGTTCTCATGAGCTGAAAGGCAACACTTGACAGCGGATTTATGAGAATGGTGTTGAGAAGGAAGGAAGGCTGGAGAGGGTTTGTCTGACTGCTGATGGTACCTGTCGAAGAGAAGGAAATGGAGCTTAGGTTGAGGGAGAGGTAGTCATCAGCACCTTTGCTCCTCCCCTAGAACAGGATCCACCGGGGGGAGAGGGGGGGTTTCATTTTGAAGTTGTCATCACTCTGCCGATAAGAGCGCTGTGACAGACAGTCCCTGCTTTAAGCATTGCTTTCTGACCCTCACCACAGCGGATCAGCCACCTGTGAGCTGCTCAAACTTGGTGCCACAGGCTGCATGAAAGAGGAACAGGAGTGTGATCATGTTACACAAGATGATGCCCAGACATTTCATGGGCACACGCACACACGTTCTCTCTGTAATAAAATGCATTGTGCGGTAGACTGAGGGATGTGGCGGCTCGGTTGAGTCTGGAATATAAAGGGCCGATTGAGTTCTCACTGTGTACTGTGTGTGTGTCTGTAATGTTGCCCACATTCAGGACTGCGTATCAAAGAAACAAAGGAGGTGTATGAAGGGGAGGTGACAGAGCTGACCCCCTGTGAGACTGAGAATCCCATGGGTGGCTACGGAAAAACCATCAGCCATGTTATCATCGGTCTGAAGACAGGCAAAGGCACGAAGCAGCTCAAGGTCAGAGCTATAATCTTTTTCTATTTTGTTGAAAAGGTGTCCTACTGCCTGTGTGTTAGAATTTAATGATACTTTGAAACATTAATGTTGGGATTTTCAAGAATAGTGTGCTGTTCTAACAATGATGAACAAGTGTCTGACTTAAAACATCTCTTGTCTTGTTTCCTCAGTTGGACCCCAGTATTTATGAGAGTCTTCAGAAAGAGCGCGTGGAAGTGGGAGATGTCATCTACATTGAAGCGAACAGTGGAGCTGTCAAGGTATCAATGTTACTTTCATGTGTTATTCACAACACATTTTTAATCAGCTGATCAAAATGGACAAATATGTACACACTACGCTTTAATTTACCAAATTGTTTAGTTCACAAACTCGCAAATAAAATAATTCAAATAAAATAAATATTTGGTTAGAGCAAAGTTCAATGCCTTCTGTCTTGCATCTCCCCCTCAGTCCTTCATGGTGGCGTTCTTTCATCTCTTTCAGCTCTACTGCATTTCTACTGTACTCTGGAATGAGTCTCTCTCATTCCTGCAGCTCTTTCTGCTTCCTTTTATCTCTCCATCTCCCACAATGCCTTTTTTTTCCAGTAGCGGGGCTTGTGGCCTGTGCTGACAGGTTGCGATGACGGCTCCTTTAATCGGTGCAGGTGGGCCGGGGGTGCAGGGCGGCTATAGTCAGAGGGCTGGACGACACATTTGTTACTGTTGACAGCTGTCTCATGACCTACCTTCTGAAACTCTTTCATCCTCTCTGCGATGGGCTGGCACTGGGTTCAATCATACACCTGCTCTCCCTCCTCCCCTGTGCTGTCTTTTGTCTCACTGTTGACCAGAGCAATGTGACATTTTCATTTTTGTTAAACAGTGGGAAGATTTTTCAATTATTATTATTATTTAGACATTTCTGTGTTACTGTGTCTTTGCAGAGACAAGGTCGCTGTGACACTTTTGCTACAGAGTTTGACCTGGAAGCAGAGGAGTATGTCCCGCTGCCCAAAGGTGATGTCCACAAAAAGAAGGAGATAGTCCAAGATGTCACACTGCATGATCTGGATATTGCAAATGCCAGACCCCAGGTATGTAACTGCAGATGTCATTGCATCTCTGCGTCGTTTGTCAATCTATTTTGTAAGATGTAAACAGTGTGTATATATATATATACATATATATGTATTTTTTAACATTATTATTGTCATTATTTGATCACAGGGAGGCCAGGACATTCTCTCCATGATGGGACAGCTGATGAAGCCCAAAAAGACAGAAATCACAGGTAGAAAAAACCTTCCCAACTCACATCACAGGCTGGCTTCACCACTAGTTAACCTTTTTATTATTTATCCATTTACGTTTTCTCTCTTTCTATTTTAGATAAGCTGCGTGCTGAGATCAACAAGGTGGTGAACCGTTACATTGACCAAGGCGTAGCTGAGCTCGTACCTGGTGTGCTGTTTGTGGACGAGGTGCACATGCTGGACATTGAATGCTTCACATACCTCCATCGAGCGCTCGAGAGCACCATCGCTCCCATCGTTGTGTTCGCCTCTAACAGGGGAAACTGTCTAATCAGGTTAGAGGTCTAAAGTTTGTTTTATGAAGAGAAACAAAATATCCTTTGCTACTCTTAAAATGCAAATATGTAAGATTTGTAGTATTAACAATCACTGTTCACCAGAGGGACGGAGGACATCAGCTCTCCACACGGGATTCCTCTGGACTTGCTGGATAGAGTCATGATAATCCGCACCATGTTGTACACACCACAGGAGATGAAGCAGGTGAGTCTGGTTATCAGATATCTGCATGGAAGATGTACTGTACATCTTCGTCTGTGCATGTGTCACTAATGACAGTGTGGTTTGTAGATCATCAAGATCCGCGCTCAGACGGAGGGGATCAATATCAGCGAGGAAGCTCTTACACACCTGGCAGAGATTGGCACTAAGACCACCCTCAGGTATGAATGTACACTGCGTATCACTGAATAGAGCGAAGAAATGAGCAACCTTGCATTGAGTGTCCACAGTGCTCCAGTTTTTCTATTTTTCCAAGCGTGTGAGGGATTTTTAACACCTGAACAGACATGGGACACCAATTAATAACATTAACAAAGAACAAGTGTTTTTTACCAAAAAGGAGTACAAACACAACTAGTTTTTAATAACTTTAATAGATAAGGCAACTGCAGGTGTAAGATACCACTGTGATGAGAAACATCAAATCAGGGATCTTGAAATTCTTTTGCCTGCACTGCTGATGCTTTGGTGAGATTTGCTCAGCAAAATGTAGCAAATTGAATCAATTGAGATTTCCGTTTTTGATCAATTTTGGTCAGTCCTGCAGCTATGGTGTAAAGTTTCATTCCTGTTTGCAACACTGGCACCCTCTTCATCAGCATCACAGCTAATGAGACGGTTACCACAATATTTACTGCAATTTGTCACCCAACCAAAAAGTGAAAAGCTACTTTTGACGGAGTAACGTAACCCTGTATTATTGTTATAAAGGAGTAATATTGAGGTTGAAATTGAAGGTGAACTTTCAAAAGGGAAATGTATGTACTGTACTGTATGTGTGAGTATAGTAAGCACTTATTTCCTGTTTCCTCTCAGGTACGCCGTACAACTGCTGACACCAGCCAGTCTGCTGGGCCGTGTTCAGGGAAAAGAGACCGTGGAGAGGGAGCAGGTAGAAGAAATCAACGAGCTGTTCTACGACGCCAAGTCTTCCGCCAAAATCCTCCAAGATCAACATCACAAGTTTATGAAATAAAAGCAGATTTTCACCTTTTTCTTTCACAGCTCGCAGGGCTTGTGTTCTCAGCCAGTTGTTACATGCTTCACTGTATTCCTCCATCCTTGTTCCATGCTGTTTCTTTGTTTGCATTTTTCCATCTTTACTCTCCACCATGGCTCATTCTAGTTCCCTGTCTCATTTACTTTTGTAGTTTTGTTCTAATAAATTTTATGTTTTATCCATTCTTTTTGTTGATGAAAATAATTTTTTGAATAAAAAGAAAAAACACAAGTTGACTCAGTTTTCTTTAATGTTTTTGGATTGGTGTATTACATTTTTACTGACATTTACTACATTACTGGCACGTCTTGCTAGGAAACAGGATGGTTGAAACATATTTTTATTGATTTCAATTACTTTTCTTTTTTTTTTTTTTTTTTACCTTTGACAACCCTTCACAGTCCAGAAACAACTGTGCAGCAACTGTTCAGTTAGTAAGTGCAATAATGAAATAGAAATAATGAAAAACATGTGACTTTTACAAAGAACACAAAGCTTCTAAAAAAGGCTTCAAATGTGATGTTTCATGGACTGAAGTACAGCTGGAAAACAACTGATCTCAAACCCCTAACATGGAACAGGTGTTGCCCAGTCGTGGCCAGGACTCTGGAAGTTCCCTGCTACTTCCTGACTGGTCGAGCGGAGCGTGTGTTCAAAACAGTCTCCGTTCCTGACCTCACTCCACTGAACACAGACGGAGCAGTTTTACCCACTTTCTCTGTGAAGGAAGAGAAACAACAATCAGAATATTTCACTGTAAATGAGGCAGCAAGTAAGAGTTATGTAAGACTGTAGACATGCTCTATATAAACACTTTATCCTGCTGGGTGAGAGAAAACATTGTTTGAGAGGAATTTCCCATCATTACAACCCTCCTTTCCTCTCTGTATATGGAGTGGAAACTTCAGCATCATGAAAACTCCTCTCTCACAAACTCACTGCCATAATGTGATCGAGTAGATTAAGCAGAGACAGAAAACAAAAGGCTTGTTTCCTCTTAAGACTACCGGTAGTATGTCAAATCACATTTCCACATGTAGTCGTGTGTGTGTGTATCCTCACCGCACTCCTCCATTACTTCAAGTGTCTTGCTCTTTGCTGGCCCCTTTGTACCCAGATTGTTCTTTGCATTAGACAGGTCCTCTTCTGTCACCTCAGGACGCTGCGCTTGTTCATCTTCTTCCTGACCTGGCTAAAGGGGAGTATAAAGGAAGACAACAAACATCTGTGATTTCTGGCTCTCCATGTCTGCAAAAAATCAACAATATATGACAATGTAGCTTCTTTTTAAATCAGAGGTCTTACTTGAGACATGTTTGTTGAAGATATGCAGCAAGGAACTCTCTGTCAGCTGTCTCTCTCTCCTTCTCTTCAAAGTGCAGCCCAACACACACTCACATATATACACAACCTAACAGTGATTCTCCAGTGGACAATAAATCTGTTCTTGAGACTAATAAATGACGTAATGAGTGTAAAGGCTCCTCCTCTTTTCTGTCTCTCTGCCTCTGGTTTTTCTCATGATCTGATCTCATCTCTGCTGCTTCATTAGAAAATGATGAGATCACTGCTACAACTGTTGGGATTACATTTCCCCAAATAAATCCCAGAGATGCAAGAATATGACAAACGTCTGTCTGTGTATCCTCACCCTCCCTCCTCCAAACCACCACTTTCTAACAGCAATGGTGATAAGCAAGCAAATTGGAGTCAAAGTTCAAAAGATAAGTAGCTGTAAGACATCAAACTTACCAATAAACTTTATACTATGCCTGACTCGTGTACAAATCTATGTTGTTGCTTTTTTAAAAGGAGTAGGGTGAAGAGGCATTGCCCTGCTTCAAAAGAATGCGGTTCCCACCCCTTCCTGCTCATTTTCCATAATTACATCATTATTCAGCCCTAAGGGACCCTTAATTCAGGCTATTAGTACAGAGGAACAACCAAACAAGACTAGTTTCCAAGCAACATGTCAAACAATCACTGAACTCAAACCTACTTAGAATAAAGGTTTTTAAAAAATGACAAAAAAGATAATCACTGGTACAAATAAAGTGTGCAAACCTACGCCCAAGAAAGTCTATACTTCCTCACAATATACATCTGTAGCAATAAAACATGTCATGTGTTGCCTTTACTCAAAAAAAATCCTTTTAAAACAGCAGGAATTCTCCAAAATGGTGAAAAGGCATTTAAAGTTTTAGTGATTTGACAACATTTAGACACACATAAAATATCCTTTAGGCTCCTTACAGTTTATGGGTTCATATTTTTCATTAAATTAACTCTAACACCACAAATATGAATTAGGTTGCCTTGTTTTATTTTGTAGGACAATCTACTCCTGTAACAAATTCAACTGTTAAAATACATTCATTTACAATACAATTAGATCCCAAAACAGTAATAATCAGTTTGTTGTATGTGTCAACACAGGAATGTTTCAGTGAAAACATACAACACACATTCACACATGTGAGGTATATTTTGAAAAGTCGTTCCCTCGTTGTTTTCACACAGTCAGTAACTGTCAATCTGTAGCTCCGTTTGTAGTGAAACTTTCTTCCAGTCCAGTACACCCACTTCCAGTCTAATTCAAGTTCTTTTCTTTGCGTATCGGGGCAAGAGCTGAGTCCTCACAAACTGAATAAGCCGAGTCTCTGTGAGAAGAACAGCTACAAACACACCGAGCAGGCACGCTGCTCCTACGCCGATATGAACCAGCCTTAACAACCAGCCGCTGTCGCAGCAGAACACACCCTGAAACCAGAGAATAAAGAACCTCAGATTATATAGAATAAAACTGCAATGTAACGGTCAATATTTAGAGCTAAAACAAAGAGACATGATTCCTCATTTATACCTCAGACAGCGCTGTGACAACGGCACTGACAGCAAGTGCCAGTAGTAGGAGTGGGGAGGGCAACAGGCCTCGCAGAGGTTTCCATTGACTGTACTGGAAGTAGTGGTGTATGTAAAGCAGGCTGTGCAAGATGCGGAGGCCCATGTTGAGACAGTTTGCCAGTATGAAGCCCACAGCGCCAGCCCACCACGTCAGCATGTAGGACAGGAACAGGAAAGACACAGACAGAGCGAGCATCACCAAGTTATACCTGAGGACAAATCACAAACACTCTGTTAACCGACGGGTTACTTATGTTATGTTTAATATCTGAACGTATATTCCTACATTCTTACTTGTCAACCTCTTCTTGGCTCATGGCAGCAAATACAAAACACTCTGTTACACCGTTTACAGCGAGTAGGAGAACGTAGCAGCTGTAGCACTGCAGCAGAGCGGGCCCTTTGACAAAAAACAAACAAAAGAAACAAGCTGTGACTAAGAACACCAAGCACAGCAGAATTTGTCACACATACCCCAATACAACCACTAGCTCACTTACCTGCCCCACTGCTCAGTAGAGAGCCGCCATAAATGTCCAGGGCCAAGTGAGAGTAGGCGTAACCAAACACTGTGATAATGAGACCAATCACCAGCACCAGTTTTAGCAGACACTCCAACACCTCTGCTACAATGGCAACTTCTTCCTGTGGACCAAACCCACAACATGAAGTAAAGCAGGCAACAATTCCTTTCTAGCCATTCTCAAAGACGTGTTTGTTCACATCCAAGACTCACACCTGTTTCTGACTTTTGACATCACGTCCTCGCTCCAGCACTTTGGCAAAGAAGATGTAGAAGCTTTCCTCGATAGGCAAGAAGATGAAGCGAGCCACCATGGAGCCCAGATTATTGACTATATCATAAACTCCCTGGTCTCCAAAGCTGAGGACGTTCAGGAAGGTCATGACGTAGCGCTCGCCCTCTGTCAGGATCTGCTTCAGGAAGGACTGCTTGAAGAAGCTCCACGTGAGCCGGGCCAGAGTCCAATCAACCAGCGGCTATAAACAACAGATGAGAATCATTAGTCGTGTATGGTAACAGCATATCTACCAAGAAATCTGTTTGATTTTGAAAAGGCAGATCATAAATAATGAATAGCAACATATTGTCCTCTCCTACTACCTCTCCATCAGCTCTACAGGGCAAGAGATCTCCAACATGGCGCAGGGGGAAACTCTTCTTGGGTGCCTCTTTAGAGCCCAAAAAATGAATGAAGTAAACAGCATAGCACAGCACCAGGAATCCTGTGTACACCAACTGAAGAAAAGCCCATAGCTTAGAGTCATTACATACAGAGGAAGTTATCACAGAAATAATTAAGAGAGACTTTGTTTCTTACATGAGCAGCAGAGAAGATGTAAAGGCCCCATTCACGGGCAAACACCACCAGCACCACAGTGACACTGCACTTCGCGATCATTGCTAAGCTCTCTGCGACAACCTTCAGGCGGACAAACATGTGAGCTTGAGCCAGGACCCAGAGGGGCTCGGCCAGGAGCTCCTGCACTCCGGACAGGGCAAACAACACCACAGCAGGGCCGTAGTAAGGGACAGTCTGGGGGTCTGGGACCTCCAGGAGCCACAGCCACACACAGACCAGCAGGGATGCCCATAACACACCCAGAGGCAACCTGAGACGTAAGCCAGGCAAATATAAGTCACACAGGCCGAATACACGAGGTCAAACGCGCGTCCCATACTTTAATCATTCTGTAAAGTCAACTCACGTCAGCCACAGCAGGTTTATAACTTGTCTCCAGCTGTGGTTGGTCCCTGATACCCCACTCAGGCAGGCTCTCCGGAAAGCTTCTCTGGATAAAAATACTAATGTGGAGTACAATAGTGTAAGCCTGCACAACAGAAACACACATACACGTTACAGGAGAAATGTGTTGGCTCTTTTCTCATCTTCACTGTTCTCCCATCTCAGCCATCTTTACCTGACATTGACAACACCAATCAGCTCTTTGGACACAAACCGCAGTGTGAACGCATTCAGTAAGAAGGTGAGAACACGAAACATCACCTGAGAAAGTAAAACATATTAATCGTTTAACAATCAAGACAGGAGTAATAGCTCAACTGTGTGTGTGTGTGTGTGTGTGTGTGTGTGTGTACCTGTAACAACACATTGTACGATGCTAGAGTGGACGCATTCTTCAATACATCCTTAGTACTCATTTTGGACTTCCTCTGACTCGCTAGAAGTCTTTATCAAACCTGAATTTGACAATCTATCCGCAGTTTTCTACGAAGGGAAATCATAATACGGTCATACTGTGGAAAGTGAAACCGTGTCTGCCTAAGACCGACGAGAATAGTTCCTAATGAGCAAGTGTTGCATTACTTCAGGTGAGCTAGAAGCAGTAGTAGTAACCCTTCCGCAACAAGACCAAAAACACTTCCGTACACATTGTACGGAAACACGTTACGTAGTGACGTCAGGAACGTAATGTCCACCGCGGTGTCGCTAGAGGGCGTAACCGTCACAATAGTTATGTCCTCTTTGTTTTTAATCTGCACCTCCGTATGATCAATAAATGGTTACATATCGATTATATACGGGTAAAATCTACACTCACTAAATGAATTTTGCTGGGGGAAAAAAAACTTTTATATATTATTTAACACTTTATTACAACAAACAATCAGTTACAAGCTGGTCAAATCTAGTAGTTTTCAGTTTTTTATACTTTCTTTTATTATTTTTTCACTGTTTGTTGACCAAAAAAAGGTTCTACTCTTCCCTCACGACCGGTCTATAACTGCATTTTTTTTTATCTCCAAACTAATCGCAAGCACTTCCTGTCCGTAAGCAGGAAGTAAGCAAGTATATCCTACTCAATAGGTAGGATCAATAGTTTTTATTGATCTTAAGAGACCCAGCATGTTATAGGTAAAAGATTAAAAGATTAAAAGATTTTTTTTTATTATTATTTGGTTTGTATAGGGATCCACAAAAAACACTGAATCAAAGGGATATTATATTAAACTGACAGCAGTTATTTCCAACATGGACCCAAGATGTTAGAAACTAACACAGAACAAACATGAAACACATTAAAACCCAAAACACATTCAAACTAATCCCAAATTCAATGTCCATATAAAAATACTGAAATACAACAAACCTTCATTAGTCACCTGTCACCTGCACCATAAACAAGCCCTGATCTGACTAAACCCTCTAAAATGTCCTGGTTTCTGAGAACTTAACCTTTAATAGTATGAGGACAATGTAAACTGCAGAAGTTTAAAAAAACAGCACATCAGATTTGGGAGTTGATGTTTTAATAAGATGTAAAAGATGGAGACAGTAAAAAAAGTACATCCTTAGTGAACCAATATACATGTTACAATATACATACATTGTCTATATACAGCATTTCAGTGACTTTCCACATATTGTTTGAAGTCACGTACCTTTATTGAACTTCCTGCACCCCCGACTGCGTCCAATCCGCCCCATCCACAGACAGGACCTTTCAATACAGCTGAAACTAGCTGTTTCTCTGTTTACATTTGTTCTTTACATGGCACTGTTGAGTCAATCACGCACATTTCTTCTTTCTCACCAAGACATGTTTTATCCAGTCAAAGGCAAGAATTCAGATGTTTCAAAGACAAATGATATTCATTATTAATCTATATTTAAAGATGGATAGGTTTTTGTTGGTCTGGTCTCTGTACATGCAGTCGCCTCATCCACACATCTACATTTGTAGTAAGTATACAGCATAATTTATTTCTACAGGTTTCTTTCCATCTACATAATTTTTCATCCTCAGTTGGGTTGAACTGAATTTTATGAAAAGGGACACAAGATGGCTGCGGTTGGTAGCAGTGACGTCAAGTGGAATGTAAAAGGAGTTTCAACCTCCCGCCCTAATATTATTACTCATATAGGCCTTCACAACCTAAACAAATAATAAGCATGCACACAAACACAATAACATCAATATATACAGTATAAGGGCCTGCTTCTACTCGTACTCATTTCTACACGTACCCAAAGAGAATAGTTTGTGCTTAAAAGGTCACAAAAATACTGATTGTGGAGCAGCTAACTCATTTGTAAGTTTAACAATAAAACAGAATAAGAGAACTGTCCGGAAACAGTAGGAATGTAACCCGGGTCTGGCTGTCATTATAACGGTCACTTTTCTAAAAGGTGCTCCATCTTAGGGTTGATGAATGAAAAGCCGGAGAATGCCGACTGATCCATGGAATCTATGAAGTTCTTATCGCTGTAGGAGAGACGAGGCTTCTCACTGAGGAACTCCCGATCGAAGTTGCTGCAATCATTTGGTGCTTTCTGTAATTGGACAACAAACAGACCTCAGCAAAATGATAAAACAGACAATTATCACAGATTATAAACATGTAAACACAGCACATGATCCATATTTATTTATACAATGAATTGTGTGTGGGGCATACCACTTTGGGTTTGAAGGGGGGTTCAATCTCTCTATTCTCCAAAGCCTGCCAGTTAATGGCCTTGAAGAAGGGCTGTAAACGGATATTACCCACGATTCCTAGCCTGCGAGTGGGGTCTCTCTCGAACAACTGCAGGGAAACAAAGTTAGTTAGGGTAAGTAAGTCACTTCATCAAGTATTTCATCAACCCAAGAGTTCTCTCATCCTGTACAGTAAAATTTAAACCAAAAAATAATCAAACATGGAAATACCAGATTGCCCCTGAGGCACAAATGTGACGTATGTATTTTGTATAAAAGATATGGTACAGACCCGCTCCAGAAGTTCCTTCGCCTCCTTATTAATCCAGCGAGGATAGTGGGGAGTATCCATGCGGATGGACTCAAACAACTCATCCTCATCGTCTCCATGGAAAGGTGACTGACCAACGAGCATTTCATACAGCAGCACCCCAAATGACCACCAGTCAACAGAGAAGGAGTACTTCTGTCCCAGCAGGATCTGAGTTGGAGCACAAATAGAAAATAATAAATAAATAAATAAGAAATATTCTACACAGACACTGACGCGGAATCAGTTGCAGAATTAAATAGTTCAGAACAAGAGAGATTCTCTGAGTATGAAACACTTTACCTCTGGAGCGATATAGTCCGGAGTACCACAGAAAGTTGTAGCACGATTCTCTCCAAACAAGTTCTCCTTGCACATGCCAAAGTCTGCAATCTTTATGTGTCCCTCATGATCGAGCATCACGTTGTCTAACTTAAGATCTCTGAAAACAAAACAATCACAGCAGAATTGAAAATAAACACGATGACTGAAGATGATAATAGATTGTGAGTTTGCAATTATTAGATCTGATATGACTATTTTGTCTTTATGAATTAAGTTAGAATGCCACTTATTGCTTACATGTTTTATGTTGTATTGCATGTAAATTAACTTTTAGAAGATTAAATATGCATTAAAAGTAACTAAAAGTAACTAAATCCTTGAATGCTCACTGCCTTAAAACAGCACTCAAGAACATTACAACTCATAACTTACACTTTTTTTTATAGAACCATACCAGTGGCATGTTTTAAACATTAATCTTAAGTTATATTATTAAATGTTGTCATATTGCTAACCATTTTTTCAAAGCATTTCGTTCTTATTTGGTTCTTATATCCAGGCAGCCACTGGTCCCATTTCAATAACTATGATCTAAATCATGCATAGATCTGAAACTAGCCTGAGATAAGTAATCTATTAAATTGAATAATTAGTCTACGGTTGATGTGTTTTTCTTTACTAGACATTTTGGAAACATTATATTATTCTTACATGGTTATGCAACTACAAGCAGATACACTATTGCTCAGATTTTAGAATCAATCAATCTTTGTTTCTTTTGTGTCTTGTGGGAAATAATTCAAAATAGTCTAATACAGCTGAAATGTAAAGAATATAGTGTTTTAAATGTAGGGGTTAAGTGTATGTACATCCAGATGTAATACATATTGTTGCTCTGACCTGTAGATGATCCCATTGGTATGTAAGAACTGAAGGCCACAAATGATCTCAGCAGAGTAGAACCTGGGAAGACAAACATGGCAGAGACAGACAGATATCAACTACTCATCTCTGGCTAGCTCTCTCACTACTGAGTTGGCAGCCGAACACTGGTGTCACTGCAGACTCATTTCAGTGTAGAGCTGAATTATTGAGGAGGACATTTGTATGGAGTAGGATACAGGTGAATAACGCTCTAATAATGTGAAACCTGAGAACCGCTGTGAGCCGAAAGATTAGCCTATCTCTAACCTGCTTCTCTTGTCATCTATGTCAGGTGAAACAATTGAGCCCTGAGAGGAGATAGAGTAGCCTCCGCTCAAACCCAATAACTGGTCCTTCACTGTAAATGACCAACTGACAACAACTGAATACACTGTCAGGTTTTATCTAATTATATCTCACTTAAAACCCTTACAAATATAGCTAAAGTTAGAAAGTGTAAATGCACGTCTAAACCTGCTCTACAAACAACACTACAAACACAAAACAGAATGTAAAATGAAGTCTAGAGATGTGTAAGTACGTTTGGCTCTGCTATATGGGGCACATTGAGACATTGGACCAGACTCTGCATGGCACCAGTCAACAGGTTAGCAGTAGCCACTGGGAGAACCAGGCCTTTGTGCTGATAAAGAGGTCACTGGAAACTTTGCAGTTCATTTGTTGCCTAAGGAAAAATATTGCATAACCAATTTCAAGAGATACTTTCCATTCCACAGTGACAACTTGTGCAGCAACAAACAAGCTTATTTTTTAGGCCTATATTTAAACATATATGGGTCAATTACATGTATATTTTTGTGTCCGAATGTATTATTTCCTTTTTAAATTATTTAATACATTCTTGACACATATCATTTTATTATATAAAACCTATTTAGTTTGAATACAATTTAAGTACATTAAAATAATACATATTGTTTATGTTTTCGAAGCTTGAAGCACACAACTGTCCATACAAGTGAACATACTAAGAAATATATTAAAACTCATCATTGTCCCTGACCCATATGTAAACAAACATGCAAATGCAAGTTTAAAAATGATTCCATTGAGAGATAATGAAACAAACAACTACTCTCTTTTTGCCTCGTTTACTGAGGGTACATTTTCCATCCAGGATTTTAGTGGATGCCAACACAAGATCAGGTGTCTGTGTTTGTAAAGTAGAGAATTACTCCTGTCATCTCATGGGTCCAGGAGACAGCCACCAGTTTAACTACAGGGAAAGTAATGGCAGACCACGTGAAAACTGTTTTTAAACATACACCAGCATGTTCAAAAAGAATACTAGTGTATAAGAAATATATCTGTAAATGCATTCATAATCTTGACACTCTTCAAAACACAGAACTAACTTCCACAACAATGCATGTACTGAAGTCTACTCTACAT